AAGAACCAGGTACTTTTTCGTGCGTTCACTTCGCGCGGAACTCGCTTCTCGCGTGACCTGGGTGCACCCCAGGGTGATGCTCGAGGCAAAGGCCACATCAAAGCTGCTCCTCGGCACGCTGACCGCGGCGGAAATCATTCACCAGAATCCACCACAGCTCCGGACGCAGAAGATGAAGACGGAGCATCCGAGAACTCGACAGGAATCTCCATGGATCACAAAAGCACCGATGCATTGATCTACCAATGTCTACCCTTCCAAGCTGGGTCGTGATGAATTTCGATGTGTTCCAGTGGGTAGTTTCGTCTTCATGTTTGGAGAGGGCACCCCTTCCATTGGCATAGAGACATTGGCATCGGCCAACATCAGACATGCCAAACACCGGAACTGCCTTCGAAACCCAGTTTCGACCCGATTCGACCCATCTCTCCATCTGTTGGAGACTAAGGCTCTGCTCGAGCAGCTTCTTCAAATCATCCGTCACCCCGAAGAGCGGCTTGTCGACCATCCGCCGGTAGTTCCACCTAGAAGAAGCCAGGTGACAGCTACCACTTCTCGAAGCTCACCATGGGTTTCTGGTTCGAGGGGATGACCGGTTCTTGCCTCTTCGAACCCCATTTTCTTGGGGAGGCACCAAGGCACCCAGGTCCATGTCGAGACTCAGACACGGAGCCTGAAAGAAAGGGGAGCTGGGCACCTGGGCACCCTGGGCAGACCACCGAAAAAGCTCCGAACTCCTAGCGTCCGAGCCCCGCGACGAACGCGTCAGAAATCGCTTCGTTCGTCGCGATGCCAGAGCCCCGTTCGTAATTCGCGTCCTGTTCTAATAGAAAAGTATTGGACCTGGCACCCGGTTGGGTGGGGGCGGGAGGTTGTGACTCTCAGCCACAAAAATATCCAAAAAGGTCTGACCATTGACCATTTTTCATTCTGAGGGCGAGAGGCCACGTGCTCTTGCGTTAAAAGTGGAGGGAATGGTCGATAAAAGGATGCACTCTCCAATTACTTCACAGTCCATGTCCTCACGATGTCATCCGCAGCTCATCTGCAGCGAAAATCCTCATGTCTCTCATTGCACCAAGCCACAGGTACTCCAAGAAGGCGGCAATCTTCTGATGCGCGGCCAAATTCTTCATATCCGGAATCCTGAGGTTCGCTTCGCTTCTCGAGAGATAATCTCGCAGCGTTCCTACACGGCGTCGAAGGCGGAAACGAGATGTCCGGATGTCAAGGTGACAACGAGGAGATGAACACCATGAGGTGTCTGTGGGGTGAACTCATCCAACTCATCTTGCTTCATTTCCCCAGCAATGCCCTAATTTGTTGTTCTTCTTTCAATGAAATGGTTCCAGGTGCACTTCTTTCTGAGATGTTCTCTGGTACACCTCCCAAACAATAAAAACCTGATGCACCGTTTTGGGGGACACCCCCACCCTTTTTGGGGTCCTTTTCTTCGGTGCACCGAGGGGTGTCTCTAAGCCTCCCAAAAGGGTAGCTAGGTGAATGAGCCAAGTGTTCGCCCAAGTCCTTGGCAAGATGTCTCTGCAAACTCTCTCGCAGGGGTCGAGGCTTTTCCGGAGGAAGTTCATTCTTCATCGTGCTGAAGAATGAACTCCCCCAAATGTCACCGAATCTCCTCCTGAACCTGTGAAGACCACTTTGACTTCAGGTTCTGATCAAGTCATTCCAAGTCATGCCAAATCATCAAAGGTCTCCAAGTGTTTTCAAGCACATCCCTGACCTTTGCAGAAACAAACACACCGCCAATCGTAGAGCTAACGAGTGGAGAATAGACTAGTCGTTATGATTTTCTGACAGTGAGACGGGTTGATCTGCATCAACGGCTTAACCTTTATGACCATTGAAACTTAAGCAAAGAAAAGAATGACCTGGTGATCATGATCTGTGATGCGATTGACCAGCCTGCCCTGCAACCTGATGGTTCCTTCAAAGGCTCTTGATGGACTCAATTCCACCATCTTCGGGACCCAGGTGTAGCAATCTTGCACGGCCGATGCCTGAAGATCCGAGCTCGAACAAGTCGGTCTCTTGGAACAAACCCTTAGAGTGGAAAATGACTCATTTTAACCACCGGCGGTGGATGGATTGACTAGCAGGTGGAGTAGTTCATGAGTCGAAATGGAAGTTCTGGCAAAGATGAGCAAAGGCTTTTTCAAGTGTTGCATCCGATCTCCGTCCTCCGACCAAGATCGCAGTGGCAGTCGGGTGTGGTCTGATCGCAAGCGGTGAAATCTTGTGGTATTCGCTACCTTAGACCCTGGTGTATAGAATCATTCCTGCCATTCCCTCCAAAAAAGAATAGGCACAAACATGTACCAGGGCCCCCGGTCTAGGTTAATGGACACCCCTTGTCCTCTAACCGGCTGTTCGACACGCCTTAGGAGGCCCTGGTAAGAGCCTGGGATCCAACAGCCTTGGGCCTTGGGTCCTAGCAGATTGCAAAACGGAAAAAGTAACGATCTTCCAACACAAAAATCACATTACGTTTCACAACATGAAAGTGTACCAGGACCCTGCAAGGGGTGTCTATTTATATGCCAGCTGTTGAGCTGTGTCCATTAAGCACCCCGACTCGGGGTCCTGGTATACCTATATAAGGTGTTCATTCCCAGAAATCCTGCACCATTTTTCTGGGAGAATCTACCAAATATCCATGGACCGGTCGTATTCTGACGTCCAAGTCACTTCAACCAAAACCCACCCACCCGGGGGGCCACACTGTGTGGCGCGCGCGCGCGCGCCGCGTGGCCAGCGCGTTCGTCCGGTGCCGTGCACACCTTCGGGGAACCAGCCATGGGCTTCGCTGGAGTTGGGCAGCACGAAGGTCACCTGTTTGGGCAGCGACCGAGCGATTGGAGAGACTGGGCCATGCGTGGCCACGCTCGTTTGGTCGAGAAAGACGACTGAAGCGGTCGACACGTTTGATGTGAAATGTGTGTCTTTGTCCATGTTCTCCCTTCGAAGAAGATGGAGAGAAATGTCTTTGAAGTGTCTGACTGTGACTGTGTGTGTTGATGTTCTTTCTTTTAAAGAGATCTTTCTGATTCAAACAACATATTGAAAATATGGTTCATGTCTTCACACTTCTTCACGCCTGCAAGCAGTCTGCCGAGTCGGGATGACTGGAAAGACTCGCGGGGAGCAAGAGTGGTGGAACGACGTGGCACTAGAGACCGTTTTCCCACTTCACAGTGGACAAAAGTATCTGAATACAACACAATACAACATGGAACCCCACCCATCATGTTCAGGTGGTCTGTGGAGGTCCTTTTCATCTCCACATTCCACATGTCCATGCTCATGTCTCCACGGTCTCTTTCGCCCAAAAAGAAGCCATCTCGGAGTCCATCTCGGCGCCTGATGTCCTCGTTCCAGCAGCGCCTCGATGATGGGTACCAGACTCAACTGATGGCTTTTCATGATTCCACCTGAGCACCGAGGAGCGGACGTTCCAAACACCCTCCCTCCACGGCATGAGTCGAGACGCGGGGCGCCCTTTTCGTCCCCGTCTCCGCCCCTGGAAAAGGAGTCGCAGAGATACCGATGGAAGAAGACGCCGAGGCGTCTTGCAGGTCCCCTACTTGTAGCGATGGCCTCCAACCTCCTTGCGATGGCCTCCACCTAACATAGCGTCCTTGTTACTAGTAGCGTCCTTGTTCCTAGTAGCGATGCCAGGAGCCCCGTTCCACCCAGAGCCTTTGGTTCACCGCACCTGTCACGAGGATGTGCTTGGGCGCCACCGCTATCTGCGCCGCCCAAGCACTGGTCGTGCTCGTGATCGCGGCCAGCAGGAGCGGCCATGGCGCCATGGTGGGTTGCGACCCGGCCCGAACCAAGTTGGGGACCCAGATCCGAGTAGAACTAGGTAGGTCTTCCAAAAGCGACCAAGGGGGAGGAGGGAAGTCTTCAGATTCTCTTCTACATGTGCTGGTTCGTTGGTGATTTGGGCTGGTGCGTTGGTGAATTCTGGACGGCCTTTGCGCAGGGCGTGTTGGAGCTTCTTGAAGATCCAGCCCGCGAAGAGAACAGCGGATTGAACTGCGTTCATGCCAAACCTTCCAGTACCTGCAGGAAACCTATGGAAACCTGTGCTGAAAGTAAGCGGAGGGCCTCCAGGCCATTCCCCTTCCAGAATTCAAGACAAGCCTTTGAAAGGTCAACTCTTTGATGACCCGATTGGGTCTGCAAAGGCTTGGTGTGGCCAAGATCGATGGCATGTCATCTGTGGCATGTCATCAGCCTGCACCTGCTTGAGCCACCACATCCATTCCCGGTCGTACCCATTCCGTCAAAAGATCTGTCACTTTACAACATCTGCATGAAGATGAAGAACGAAAAAGGTCTTGCACCACCCAGAAAACAGACTGACCCTCCAAAGAAAACAGACTGACCCTCCAAAGAAAACAGACTGACCCTCCAAAGAAAACAAAAAAAACAAGCACGTCCAACCACCAAGTTGGGGTAGCTGGAGGTCCATGGTTCTGAACAAGTGAAGTCCAAGGGGAGAAGCACATTGCTAGGGTGGAGGCCATCGCGGGTCGTAGGTTGGAGGCCATCGCCATTAGTAGCTCAAAAAAAGATTGTGTTTTTTTCTTAATTTAATGAGTTTGGAGGCTCAGCGCTTGGTGTATTGGTGTGCATTGCATCACCTGTAGGGTCAAGAGGCTTCACTCCCCTTCTTTGGTTGGACGCCACTGTGTAGCTTGAAGATCCCAAATACTCCTCCCACTCTGAACGCTTGTTTCCTGACAGGGGGGAGGTCAAGGGAGCATGATGTGGCATGCAAAGATGGCTTCTGCATGTCGTTGCCTCTTTGAATCCCTGGACTTCTAGCCCCATAGTCCTCGATCGTCGTAGAGCACACCCACCAGCATCAAGACCTTCAAGAACCAGATCCACCAAGACTCTCTTTAAAACATCCATCATCGAACTCAGAAGAGAACTGCGAACGAGCGCGCGAACTGCTTATGCGCCCCAACTTGAACCAACTCGCTGGCCGCCCAGCGCAGCACCGGCAGCAAGTCCGAGTCCTCACGGGTGCCGGAGTGCCACTGTTTTTTGGGCTGGAAGGAGTCTGAAGGTTTAGTTAAGAATGTTTCTTCAGATCTGAAGATCTTCAGGTAGATTAAGAGTGCTACTAACTAAAACTGGAGTTAAGACTACTGCATGGTAGTAATGCTTCTTCTTGTTCCCTTTGGGTTCCCTACCTTGTTCCTATAAGTAAGGCGCTAGGAGCGCCCCGTCCGTAGCGCCCGAAGGTTCCAAGTCTTCGCGATGGAGACGCCCCCGTGGGGACGGACCCAATGGCAAACCCGCTGCGATGGTCTCCCACGACTCAGACTCCAGGTTGGATTCGAGTGGCCAAGCGCGCACAGGCCAAAAGAAGTTGTGGCGTAACAAGAAGCTACTAGGAACAAAGGGCATCGCTACTAGGAACAAGAAGCTACTAGGGACAAAGGGCATGGCATGGCTAGTAGCAAGGTCACATCCTTCAACCTCTCAGACCAAAACACCCCACGTGAGTATGGCGCATGGGGCTCGAGAGAACTCTTTTTTCAGCTCACCTTGGCTCTTCCAACACACAGGGGGAGCTGGACAGAAGTGATACAAAGGCTCCAAGGCAGCGGTAGTTGAAAATGGCGACCATCGAACTGACTCAACCCAGGGTACTGTATGTGTGCCTCAACACACCCACTATATCATGTGCCTTTGCAGAAATAAAAGTGAACCACCATCCCGTCATATCCCGTCTCCCCAAAAGGTACCGACCACGGCGTGCGGAGCTCCGCCTGGTACAACCGCGTCCGGAGCTCAGCCTGGAGGTCAGGTCGCTCAAAAAACCTAAGAACCAAGGTGCGACACCGGAAAAAAAGAAGTGGATGGTCCCTGTGTTTTTTGGTGTCGACTTTCCTAAACGAACAGGTGAGACCTTCCTCACGAAACGTGACGAGTCATCGGAGTGAAATGGCTTCTCAAGTGGAGTGAAAGCCACCATCTTGTATATGCCAGGACCCTCCTGTCGGGGTGTCTATTTATAGCCCCTGAACGCTCTGATTCGGAATGTCCACTCGCCACCCCGAAGGGTGGTGAGCCCTGGTATAGAGGAAAAATGGGGTGTTCCAAGGAACATGATCCGTTTCCCAGCTCCATGGAGTGAGCGAGCGGTCCGCGGCCGATGCCGATGCCGTCTTCGCCGCTGGAGCCCGACCCGACCGACCCGACCAACCTCGCGTCGGTAGGTCAAGCAAGCATCGGGTGTTCACCCACAGTGCCACAGCCAGGTATCATAAGTATATAGATCCATAGACCAATCAGAAAATCCACCAACCGATTGAATTAAGATCCGCCATCCATGATCTGAGCCTTCTTTCAGCTTTCTCGGAAAAAACAAAAGCTCTGCCAACCGTGGCGACTGACTTTAAGGAGGCACTGCTGGCTTTCCAGGGGCTGCAAAGACGGAAAAAGCACCCCAAGCGGTGGTAGTGGACACCCCTAGAAACTCCTTGGGGGGGGCCGTAGTGGTAGTGCATCAACGTCATGGAGCAAAAAAGGTGTCTTTGTTCTGGTCCTAAGCAGTTTCGCTTCTTTTCCAGTCTGTGGTCGTACTGTTGTCGTCCCATACTGGTGGTTGTCAAAGCGCGTAAAATAGCAACATACAAAGAACACATGAAAATGAGAAGTCGATACACGCGCGGTATTGGAACAAAAATGACCGAACAATTACTAGCATGTCTCCTGTGCTTTATTATTTCTATATTTTCGCCATCAACCAAGAGGAAAATCCTTTGAATGGAGTCTGCTGGTGAAAGGAGCCAGCCACAATGTTCAAGACTTGCACAGTACGTCACTTCTCATGAAGAAGAGTGAAAAACTCCTTTTTGGACAAGTGCAGCAACACCTTACGTGAACACTCATTTACGCCGCTTACGCCACCCGTCGCGTTTTCTCGCGTGGAGCACACGACGGTCGCCCCCGGAGAGGCGAGTTTGCGTCCGGCCCCGTTGGACCGGACTTCACCGGTTGGAACTGCTTTGGTTCTCCAATTCCATCGGGTTTGCGTCCCGGGTGTCCCGGAGTATGAGTGTCAGACGTGGAGTATGTTCAGGTTGCCACACGTCACGACCGACGGTACAAACAGAACTCCGAAACAGCGATGTCCCACTTCCCAGACACGACCCGGACTGCCATAGGACTGCCGCCCCAGACAGACCCCAGGTCAACCACCCCAACTGATTGGCACATCTGGCAGTCACATGGAGTGTCTGGGCTTTAACAGAAAATACAAAACCAGCGGCCCAATCGATGTCTGACCCAAGCCATGGAACCCGAGGGGCAAGCAGACGTGCGGCCCGCACCCACCGCTCCCTCTCTTGGTGAACCAATGGGGCCATACCCTGACGGGATTCAGCAGCCTTCAAGAAGCACCTCTTGCTGCACCTCTATTTTCTTTCGAAGCTCCTGATAAGACTTCCTCTTTTGAAAAAAAATGTCAAATCCACATCTATGTCAAATCCACGATCACAGGAAAGAAAACAGAAAAACCTCACAACCTCGGCCCCCAAACTCGCGGCGAAACTCGCGGCGTGGCGCGGCGCTCCGCTCACCTCGAGTTCTTGCTCTTTCGCCCGGAGTGCCTGGGCACGATCTCGCGAACACGAAGCCGTCCGAGGATGGACTGCACGAAGCCTCAAGGCACCGAGGGAGGTGGAAAGAGCACTAGATCCGTTGAACTCTCGACTGCTCGGCTGGAAAGAGCTCGGGTCTCGAGAAAGAGCTCAGCTGGAATCCGGGGGTCTTTAGCCCTGTAGGTTCGGAATATGAGCGCTGATTCGGTGCGTTGGAGAGAAGATGGCAAAACTGTACGATTTGGGCAAGTGGACGATATCAGGTGTGTTTCTGCAAGTGTGGGAAGTGTTGGTATAGTGGTTACATACCTACCTGGAAACCCAAAGAACCAGAACACGGCAATTGAGATCATGACAAGTGGTTGCTTCTTTTTCCAGAAACATCCAGCTGTTTCTGGTTGCTTCTGGTTTCGGGGGTTTCCAGGTACATGATTCTGCATGTGTGCATTCCCTTTCGACCAGCCCATTGGTCGACTCCGGCATACCTCGTCGACGGTGAAGCACATTCCTTCCCCTTTTGGACAAGAAGTTATGTCAACAGAAATGAAGTCCAAACTAATAGCGATGGCCTCCACCCTACTAGCGATGGCCTCCAACCTACCATATGTGCTCCTTTAATTACCATATTAATTATTATGTAACATTCCAAATGACGCTGTTCCGATTCCTTTAGCACATGCTTGTCCACTTACCACAGATTCCGAGAAGTCCAGTTCAACTATCTCTGGCACCACCAAAGTGTTCAGGACATTCTTTTGGAATCACCTAGTTAGACCAGTGTTTAGATAGTCGACTGCACTCTCAGGGTGTCTTTTTTTGTGCGTTCTGGTAACTTGGGTGGTCCCGGATCTTTGTTTC